CCCCAAAACCCCAAAACCCCAAAACCCCAACAGGCTAAAATGAGAGAATGAGCTAAAAAAGGAAAATTATTTAATCTTCAAAATAAAGGAGGCCAAAAACAAATGATAATTAAGGTAACTAATGGTAAATTGGGAATTTAAATATTATAAAACTTCGAACTTTTAATATTATAAATAAAGCTATAGAATATTAATGGATCAATCTGGAAATAACAAAAATACTCTAGTTACGCTAAAGCCATAGCTTATACACAACTAAAATCACAATCAATTAATATCCCCAAATAAGAAGAGATCTCTATAGTAAGCTACTTAGAGAGCCAAACAGGAAAATTAAGCAAACAATGAAAATTGGACCAGTGCTAGTATTAATTTAACAAATCATAAAACTAATGCCTTAAATTCTATCTTTTCACCTAATAATAAACTGTTTATTGAAAATTCGGGCTCATTTGTAAATTAGTATTTTGATTCTGTACTCCCATAGACTCTTACTTCTGTTAAAAGAATCAAGAAATCCTAGAAGTATGGAATAATGAGTTTAGATAGGGAATAAGCTTTACATGATTAGAGACAAGATGAGGTATTATCAGATGAAAAGTCTAGAAAATATGTAGCAGAACAATCATTAAAAAAGAAATGAAGTACTTAAATAAAACTAAAAATAAAAAGTATATAAAAATCTCAATATAAATTTTATGTAGATTTGTAAATGATAATAGATACAAAAGGACTGGCATGCACTGAATTTATTGAAGCCTATAAGTAATTGAAGGATTTTGTTAATAAATAAGTATCTGGTGCTTTAAGGAAAGACATGATCAAAATTGCAATTCTATCTAAATATGAGATTTTCCAAGTAAAAAATCAAACATAAGATCGCTAAACAGAACTATTTGCCATTAGAGTAATACTTGCTGACTTATTATTAAAGTAAGTTACCCAAGTTAATTCATAGAAATATATCTCATATTTTAGGACAGGAGCTTTAGATCTTAGCAAGAATTTAATTGGTTAGATTATGAATTGTATCAATGAAGTAGCATAAGGTAAAAAAATAAATTATCCAGAAAGTTAAATTGCATAAGCTTATGCAATTAATTGCCAACTTCTCTTTCATTCAAAATAGTAAGCTTAAATCACATTTTAATTGAATATAGATTTACTTAGTCATTAGAGAGTATTACAAAAGCAGTAAATATTCAGAATGCACTCATTAAAAGTAATAATTAAAGTAGCAAGATAAGATTTTCTGATAAACTTCTATCTTTCTCCCAAACAAAATTTTTCGAAAATGAAGAAAATAACTATTAAAAATAGTCAGTCTTCTATCCAACTTTAAGAATGAAATAGTAAAAGTATTTGGAATATTTACTTCTTCAAAGAGAATTATGCTTGAAACTTAAAAAAGATCAGTAGGCATTTTATATCTATTCAATTGCTAAAACATTTGCCACTGAAGTATTTGGGAATAATAGCCAAGAGTTAATGTCTATTGATATTTTAACATTGATTCATAATAAAGCTGCTAGGACTTCAAAATAGAGTAGTAAAAAAATGCGAAAAATTTAAGAGTAGATTGATAAGTCAAAGAATCTTAACAATAGTAACTAGAAAACTGAGGGTAGTGGTATTCATAGAATTGCAGATTTTAATATAAACACAATAGCTTATGAATAAAATAACAACTCAACCATAAGAAAAAACAATGAATCATTTAGAAATCCAATGGAATCTTAAAATTCGCAAACTTTTAGACATGTCATTTAAGAAATAAAAGAAATCTAGCCAGTCCTAGTGGAAAATTTAAATAATTCTAGTGCAACAAGAGTGCCACGTAGATCTCAACAAATTTTAACAGATAGAGTACCTTAAAGTGAACTATAACAGCAATTTTACCCCTCAATTTATCAATTCTAGAATCCTTAATCTACTTCAAACTAAAAGGTTTGGCATTAATCTATTCAGAATAACATGAAAGGAGCAAATAGTAGATAAAATGATGGCGACAGTACCTAAAATTAAGGTTCAATATTGAAGTTTAAGATAGACGAGAAAGCTTTTCTAAAGTATAAAAATAGATGTTTTAGTAACTAAAATTAAAACTAATAAAAAGATAGAAGATAATAAAAAAGCGAGTTCTAAGAATCCTCATTAAATGATACTCCTCATCATAATAATCATGCAGAACTTTAAAAAAATGATTAGAATAAAAATATAATCTAGAATTTTGATTAGAGGGAGTTTGCAATTGAAGTAAAAGATCAAGCAATCAGTATTATTGATGATCACAGCATAACTTCAGAAGATGATTTCTAAAGAGATGAAAACCAGGATTCAATATCAAGGGCTTAGGTGAACTTAAGCAATAACGGAGATAAAAGCAAGACATTAGTAGATTTTAAGAATAGTAGCTCTATTCTCAACTAAGCAACAAATAACTGCTCCATATAACTAAACGATATTTAAAGTAACTTACAACATTAAAATATTGACTTATTCATGTACAACATTGGGGCAAGTAAGGAATCCAATAATAGTAATTTGGTAATAAAAAACACACCTTATGAGCCAGAACTGAAAGTATAGCTTACTGGGTCATTAAGTATAGTCAAAACTAACTTAAAGTAAAATTTGAATACTGAATAGCTAAATTTACCAAGTTACTTATTAGAATCTAACTCATAGCGTCTTGAGTAGCATAGAAATTCTGCTTAAAATTCAAATGTTTTCGGTGAAAACCCTGATATTCCATACACCTCAGATCTTGAAGAAGAAAAATAGTCAATGCATCAATATAACCAAGGCTTTATTTAGAGAAAATCACTCGAATAAAACTATTTGCAACACCATAACAATCATCATTCACACAAAGTTCCAGATACTTCTTATTTAGGATTGAATGCTAATAATTAAGCTCAGTAAGCATAATTGGAAGATCTTGACAATCAAAATAATTCTTAAGTCGAAACATCTTTAAGAGCTTTGCATAATGTTAATGATAATATAACTGATATCATACCCCTAGATCATCATATTTTAGAAGAAAACTTAAATGAAGAGGAAAAATTTGATATCAAAACTAGTACTGCTAATAATACCCAGAGGAATGCTTTTGTAAACAATAGAAGTTCATTATTTAACTCGCCTAATGTAGCAAAACTTAACAGACAATAAAGAAATCAGATAACTCATACCAATTTGAATGATGCAAGTGAGTCTAATTTGCAAAATTAAAGAAATACTAACCACAGTAGATCTGATAACTTACCTTATTAAGCATCTTTAGAGTGGAATAATCTTAATTCTGATGTTCATAATTAGCAGATTTAAGAAAGAATTACTCCGCTAAATCTTAATTAATCAGATCAAGAATTATAAGTATCTCAAAATTAAAATACTAGAGAGTCCAATAATCTTTTAGTAATTAAGATTTAAAGTTGTGATTGTTAAAATTGTTTGAAAATTTAGGGTGAGATTAAATAACTAGTAAAGATTCAGAGTTATTTTAGGATGTGGCTCTAGCAGAATTAAATGCGATTAAGGCAAAGAAATATTGATTCAAAAGCTGATACTAACCAGGGAAAAAAAATGAGTACCAATAGTTTAATCCTTAACTAATAAAATTCAATTGCTAATCTTAGTAATGTTCCTTAGATTTCAAGTATGAATTTTACATTGGATGAAAAGATAACAATATAAATTAAAGAGTAAGATGAGGAGCAGTTAGAAGAAGATTCACTTAAAAAGTAGGATAATGCCTTAATTAGAGCCTCGCCTAACAATAGTTATTAAAATAATTAGAAGCATGAATCAATGGATACACATGCAGATAATTCATCGCCAGAAGAAGAGGCTAAAATTATTAATTTTGGAGACAATGATAAACCATAGAAGTTTGGCTTTGAAATTGCACAAATTAATAGATAGTTAGATTTTAAATAAACACACAGTTAACAAGCTCCTAAAATCTCCAACATCGTAATTCAGAGAAAAAATATTGGTGATAAACTTACGATAGAAGATATTACTATACCTATGAAAGCAGCAAATCAATAAAGAAGAAAGACAATATTAAAACCAGATTTGAATTTTCATGACTAATTAGAGTTTGATAAGAGCTTCAACAACAAGATGAGAAATAACTAATTAAAGGCGAATGAAGAGATTTAGAAAATGGGAGTTAAATAAAGAATTAGAGCTAGAATTAGAAATGCTTTATACAGATAGTATTAGCAGTACTAAATTGAACCACTTAAAGTTATTAAAAATAAAATATCTAATAACATCAATGGAAAAAGAATTCAGCTTATTCATGTATTCTTCAAAGGAAAGCATATGATTTAATAAATAGAAAATGGCAACATTTCTGATATAATTCAGACAAAGCTGATTAATTGGAGGAACATCAATAGATTCCATTTATCTGGCATCAAAACAGACGATTTCCTAGATTACTATGATTATAATCACGAATTGTAAAAAATAGTCAAAATAATAAAATTCGATAAATCTTTGGATGAAAAGCAGCACGAAAATCTTTTGAAAAAAGTTGCATTTGCTATTGGCATTAATAATGAATAACAAAAAGAAGTTAGAGAAGTTCATTAGATATCTGTAGATGATCTAGCAACAGGCTTAGTTCATAAAGTAATTCATTAAGCATTTGCTCGCTATAAAAATAAAATTAAGGGTTCAATGAATGTATGGCATACTATTGCTGCACAACCAGCTATTGATATTGGAAATCTTGATACATACTTGGATCATCTTTTGACGTGGTAGATTGAATCTGATGGTACAAGTTATTTCTTAAGAGCTAGATATAACAAGTTTACAAGACAAATAAAGATTGACACATTGATACGCAAATAATTTCTTATTTTCGACAAACCCCTTGAATATATTGTACAGAATGTCTTTCCTGACATTCTTCCTAACTTAGTGAACTTTCCAAATAAAAAGGATTAAGTTTGGGTTGATGAATGCCTAAAAGTTTTAAAGACTTGCCTCCCTGCAATCATTTACTTAGATTTACAAAATAAGATGATAAGCATGAAAAAAATTGTAAAACAATAACCTAGTTTCTAAGAAAAGAGAGATCAATTAGATTATTATCAGGTAATGCTTAAATAGGATAAGCCTACAACTATTGAGAGGAAAAAAACTGGCAGGATGAGCTAAGAGTTTTCGTAAGGAATATCTATATTTGGTATTAATCCAACTCCTCCAAATCTATCACCTGAAATCTCCTAATAATCATTGGGCTAAAATACCCCAATTCATGGTACAAATTTGAAATTAGGTTAGTATTTAAATAAGCAAGTATCTCATTCAGACGAGAATGAAAATACGATTACTATAGGTATTCGTAAAGATCCTCACAGAAAATCCCTCGCTCCTTAGGTGAGTGACTAAAATCAAAAGAAATCTGAAGAATCAATATAATATTCACTAAAGTTGCAGGAAACTACTTATAATATCATCTATAAAGTGATTTCCATGGCAGATGGTAAGTACTAGCTATAAGCGACTATGATTGATGATAAAGGATAACCGGAAGATTAAATCTAAGATAGGGACATGGCAATTAAATACAAAAAGATAAAAGATTAAGATAAAGATAAAGATAAGGAAAAGGAAAAAGAAAAAGAAAAATTCTATTTATTCAAATTTAGTGATATTCAAAGATATATCACAATCTTTCATGCTTATATAAGCTAGCCAGCTATTTGTGAAACAATTACTGATGTTCTTACGATGATTGATAAGAAACATCGGATTAGGTTTGATGAAATAGAAAATGCAAATGATGAAAGTTATTGACAAAATCGTAATAGTTTTATTTTAAATATGAAATATATAACACCTAATGATTAAGTTAACATGTATTCAAGTGATTATATATTTGAAGTAGAGTTTAAATTTAATTGTTTAAGAAAGTTAATAATTAATTTTCAATTCAAACTAACTAACCGCAATAAACAAACATGGCCCAAAGATCAAGACCCAAGTTCAATGCTAAGAAATACGAGAGACCAGGCCTCACTGAAGATGAAATCGAGGAGATCAAGGAAGCCTTCGACTTGTTCGATACTGATGGCTCTGGCTTGATCGATCCAAAGGAATTAAAAGCAGCAATGCAAAGTTTAGGATTTGAAGCTAAAAACCAAACAATTTTCCAAATGATATCAGACCTCGACAAGAACAAGAGTGGCACCATTGACTTTGAAGAGTTCCTTGATATGATGACTGCTAGAATGAGTGATAAAGATACTAGGGAAGATATCTCAAAGGTTTTCAGATTATTTGATGATGACAATACAGGCACAATTACTTTAAGAAATTTAAGAAGAGTCGCTAGAGAACTTGGTGAGACAATGACTGATGAGGAGTTATAAGAAATGGTTGACAGAGCTGACTCTAACGGAGATGGAGCTGTCACTCTCGATGACTTCTTCAATATCATGACCAAGAAGACTTTCGCATGAGAGCACTCTTAAATAAAAATTAGTGATAATATATGAATGAATTAGACTATATGATGATGTTTTTTCATTAAAATTCAAATACTTCTACTCTCTGTAATATATTTTATTATCTAATTATTTATTAATAATATAATTTTATAAGTTCTATCATAAAAGTAGTAATGAGCGACATTTATGGAGCATTCGCAAATGCATACAAATCAGGAGATATCTAAATCAAGGCTGATCCTAAGAGAGTCTTTAACTTGTTTACTGAGACAAAAGATTTAGAGAACAACCAATAAACATAATCAACCTAAGGCAACGGCAACGCACTTCAAAACTCATTCTAAAGTATTAAGAGCAAATTATTTTCCTCCTCAGAATCCTAAAACCAGTCTTAGAACACTGCTGGAGCTCCACCCAAGCCAATATAATTTGTGATAAGTAAGATGGATGACAAAAAAGATTACACCAAAGCCATAATTTGCTTTATTATCAGTGGAGTTTTCTTGATGTTCGCTACTCTCTCCCTTCCCTCAATAATTCTATCGCCTCAGACTTTCACCTCACTGTTTACAATTTCCATGATAAGTCTAATATTCGCATTAGCATTCTTAAATGGTCCAGCCACCTATGTTAAGAAGCTATCAGAGTCCAAGAATATTTTTGCAAGTGCAGTCATGGTCATCTCTACTATTCTCAGCCTGTACTTTTCAATTATCCAAGGCAGCTATCTATTATCAATCCTATTCTGTTTTATTGAGTTCAATGCAGTGATGCTATTTTTCTGCAACACATTCCCAGCAGGCAAATAAGGAATGAAACTATTCGGAGGTGCTGCCAAAACAATGCTTACTGCCCCATTCAAATGAGTTAATAAGAAAGCTGAATATAAAATATTAATTGCTTGAATTGATACTATGATCTTAATTTGATTATTAATTTGGCTAAATTTTATAGTTATAAACTTATATTCTTTTACTTAATTGTGTATAATATTTCTTTCTAAACACTAAACAACTAATTATAGACAGCTATCATAACATTCGATGCACTCTAGAGCTCACTCACTGTTGACCATTCTCCATCTTTTTCAATAAAACTATTTTCTCTGCAATCTTTTTGAACATTTATTGAACTCCCTCACCAGTTTTAGCAGAGCACTCAGCCAGAATCATATTATGCTTTTTAGCTACGTCCGAGGCATTTTAAAATGAGATTTTTTTAAGAGCTGCATCCAAGTCAGCCTTATTTCCACAAAGGGCCATCACGAAGTTATCTGAGTCATTGTTATTGTTATTTAACATCTCGTTGATCCAGTAGAACACTGAATTAAAACTCTTTTCATCTGAAACATCATAACATATTATCGCAGCAGCTGCATCTTTATAATACAATGAAACCATACTTCTAAATTTCTCAGATCCGCCTGTGTCCCAGATATGCATTTTAACTTAAGAACTTTCCTAAACCGCTTGCTAGCTCTAAGCATTAGTATTATTGTTCAAAGTAATGGTTTGCTGTAAGTATGCCCCTCCAATTGTGACATCATGAGTGTCAGAAAATATACCTCTACAAAATCTCTGAGCTATGCTAGATTTTCCTACTCCAGAATCACCAAGCAGCACAACCTTTGCTTCAATCACGCTACTCTGACTCGAATTTGACTTCTAAGGGCGAGAGCGAGCAAAGGGATCTGTTATTCCAAGGTTGTTCTATGTTCTTAGACCCATTTGATTCTAGTTATTGGTTTATTTAGACTTCTTGCCTCCTCCACAACATCCTCCACCTGACTCCATTGCAATTTAAGTTTAATTTATAAAGTTATTTACATTTTTAGTTATTTATTTGTGTCTTATTTTACATAGAGGAAAATTAAGTAATAAATTAAATCAAACAGCAGCAGTGCAGGGCAAGATTATTAATTTTTAGTAAATATTTCACAGTGTCATACCGGGGAGAACTCCACTTCCAGTTTAATAGTGTTATTAATACCCTCTACTACCTAGAATTCTTTGAGATTGCTGAGAAACAGGAGAAATCAATACTGATCTCTGAGAGTGAGAAGAACTTAGCATATGACTACCAGCAGATGTTAAGGGATTATATCTTTCATGCGAAGGAACGACTATAGTTTATCTTTATTCTCCTGTAAGGATGTTGAATCCATTATTGTTCTTTGAGTCTAGATTTTTACTTCTAATGAGTGCTCTGACTTTGGCATCATGATCAACTTACTACAATTTAATGCCCTCTTTATTTCTGTCATAGTCTAAGTTGATGATATTATAGGCTGATCCTCCCATATTCTTCTTAGCTGCTTGGTAAACTTCAGCCTTAACCTTTATCCTATTTTCCTAGAATTGTCTACAAATTATTGTTATGATTAATGAAGGAATAAATTTAGCTTATTTCACATGAAAAGAATTCATTTTATGCAACTACTACTTACTCTTTCACTTCATATTTTTCCCATTTTTTCTGATCTCTTTCAAGTCTTTCGATTCTAAGATTCGCCCATTTGCTTTACTGCTTTTCAAAGTGCTAGGCTCTTACACTCTTATCAGTAACAGCATGATCCTTATTAAATCTTTAATGTTCTATATTTCACAATTATTGATTATTTATAATGAAACTACCATCTACATGATAAGTTGAAGTAGGATCAGGATTGTTAATTTGAGCACAATCTACATATTTATGATAGCCTCCAACTCTTTCCTTTAGTCTTTTCTGCTCTATTCTTTCCTTATCTCTCATTGAAGTCTACAATTATTCGTTAGTTTCAATAATATTAATCTTAAATATACTCTTTCTTCTCTAGTTCTAGGAGCAATGGCGTTAAAATTCATATTTTTGCAATTTTTTTATTTAGTTATAATGCTTTTATTTAAACGATTTTATTCAGAATTCAATATATCCCAAATAATAATTGGTCTTAACAACAAGGGGTTTTGGGGTTTTGGGGAGATCGGAAGAGCACACGTCTGA